GACTCCCTCCCAACCTACCACTTTCATTGTTTCTCCCTGGCGCACTCCTACCCCCACGATCCTACCTGAGTGTCTACCACTCAGGATTGTCACCCTCCAGTCATCTCGACGGGGGCGACCTGACCAGACAGCAGTTGTAGGCAGCAGGGCTAAGCAGGTCAGACGAGCCCTGTTGCACGGGTACATCGGGCGCTAGCTATAATTGTTCTACAAGTCCCATAGGTATTGGACCCATTTCTATCGCCCCTAAGTTGCTGTATTGTTCTTTGTATGTATCGCTGTTGTTGTAAGAGGTTCTAGCCTATATGTGCGGCCCCCTATCCGCCCCTCTACCTATAGACGTCCCCCTAGAGCCCTCTTCAGTTGCATTATTGTGGTCTGATCGTTGTTGGTTGTATGCTATTTATCAATGCGGGAAACAGATTAGGACCCATGTAGTCCTCACCCTCATCCTAAACAGCACCAGTCTCAGTCATCCATACATGCCAGGACCCCTTTCTGTTCCTCTTACCTCTATCCTCGACTGGGCTAATTCTGGTTTATCCCCCAGGGAGGCCGAACCTCGGGACTCTCCTGCCTAATCCCCCGCAAAGGGACCCCCCTAATCATCCCGCCTTCCAGCCTTGCCCCCTCAGAGCAGCGGCCTAAGGTAACCAACTCACGTGATCTATCCCTCCATGATGTCCCTGCCCGCATCCCAGCTATCTAGCCCGCCTGATCAGATTGGAACCCTCAACCTCATCCATACAGCCCCTGGCGCCCACTGAGCTACTATGACAACCAATCTGTTCATGCGCTGCACTAAACCGTGGGACACATGTGCAATCATCAGAACAACCCATGGACCAAGAACATCAGGCAAACCTCTCATAACCTAGACCGCAACATACAACAGCCATGGACTGAACCCTTTGGAAGGTACACACAGTGTTTGTAGTCCTTACCACGCGCCAACCCAAGTGCGTCGGTCAACACCCGCCGGTGTCCATGCGCAAGGCTGCAGAGTTTTGAACCCACACCCTCAGACCACCAACGCACATTTCCAACCGGCGCTCTACCCACTGAGCTAATAGGTTCTTGCCTTTTTCTTTGCAAAGGACTACAGCCTTGAGGTATCATCATTGAGCTGAATGCCTCTAGGTAATTCTGAACTATGGGCCTGACTCCACTACTTGCAAAATGTGCAAAATGAGAATGAATCTTCCGCTAGAACATGGGAAGATACACCGCCATATTTATATATATCATACTTGCAACCGCACGAGCCGCACCCGCACCCGTCCGTACGGGGGGTGCTCGATCTCCGCACATTCCGCACCCGCACAGACCGGATCCGTGCGGAGATCCGTGCGGGGGGTGGCCGTGTGGATTTTTTTTTTTTTTTTTTTTTAAGGGGGGTCTGAGGGGTCCGAGAGGTGTTTACCTGCACAACTTTTAAGGGGGGTCTGAGGGGTCCGAGAGGTGTTACCTCATCCTCATCATCAGAAGATTCAGAACCTCCGTCCTGTTCCCGGTCATCACCATCACCATCATCATGACCATCACCATCATCATCACCATCACGATCATCATCACCATCACGATCATCATCACCATCACGATCATCATCACCGTCATCATCATCAGAGGATGACGATGATGAAGCCGAACACGGAGGGGTGTTGTCATCGTCAACGACTTTCCCCTTCTTTTTCTTCGCTGCTGCTGCTTTTTTCTTTGCAGCAGAACTCTTTTTCTTTGCAGATGCAGACGCCTTCTTCGCAGCTTTCTCTGCTGCTTTTCTTTCTTCATTCTCCTTGTTTCTCGGTCGTCCTCTCCCCCGTTTCGGAGCAGGCGCAATGTCTACCTCCGCGGTATGCTTCCCGCCACCATCCCCCTCGCCAGGACGTGCTCGCCGATGCTGCCTCCTGCTTCCACCTTCTTCCTTGCCATCCACCCATGCCCCCGTCTCCCTGGCCCGCACCGCAATGGGAATGACACAAAGATGATTAGCATGACCCCGACGCAAGGATGACACACGATTCGAGAAAAGGTCCCAAAAAAAAAAAAAAAAAAGCTCGATAGATTGGATTGTTTTCGAAATTTCGATACCTAGGTGGGAGAGGAGGAGGAGGAGGTGGACGGCGAGGAAAGGGAGGAGGAGGACGAGCAGAAGGAGGAGGAGAAGCACGCAGATGAAGGGGAGGTGGAGGAGGACGAGCCCGTGTCATCCTTGCTCAGAGGTCGTGCTAATCTTCTCTGTATCGATCCCAATCATCCCTCCGTTTCGTGAGCTTTTTTTTTTTTTTCAACCTTTTCTCGATTTGTGCGTGNTTTTTTTTTTTTTTTTTTTAAGGGGGGTCTGAGGGGTCCGAGAGGTCCGTACGGGGGGTGCTCGATCTCCACACATTCCGCACCCGCACAGACCGGATCCGTGTGGAGATCCGTGTGGAGATCCGTGCGGGGGGTGGCCGTGTGGATTTTTTTTTTTTTTTTTTTTTAAGGGGGGTCTGAGGGGTCCGAGAGGTGTTTACCTGCACAACTTTTAAGGGGGGTCTGAGGGGTCCGAGAGGTGTTACCTCATCCTCATCATCAGAAGATTCAGAACCTCCGTCCTGTTCCCGGTCATCACCATCACCATCATCATGACCATCACCATCATCATCACCATCACGATCATCATCACCATCACGATCATCATCACCATCACGATCATCATCACCGTCATCATCATCAGAGGATGACGATGATGAAGCCGAACACGGAGGGGTGTTGTCATCGTCAACGACTTTCCCCTTCTTTTTCTTCGCTGCTGCTGCTTTTTTCTTTGCAGCAGAACTCTTTTTCTTTGCAGATGCAGACGCCTTCTTCGCAGCTTTCTCTGCTGCTTTTCTTTCTTCATTCTCCTTGTTTCTCGGTCGTCCTCTCCCCCGTTTCGGAGCAGGCGCAATGTCTACCTCCGCGGTATGCTTCCCGCCACCATCCCCCTCGCCAGGACGTGCTCGCCGATGCTGCCTCCTGCTTCCACCTTCTTCCTTGCCATCCACCCATGCCCCCGTCTCCCTGGCCCGCACCGCAATGGGAATGACACAAAGATGATTAGCATGACCCCGACGCAAGGATGACACACGATTCGAGAAAAGGTCCCAAAAAAAAAAAAAAAAAAGCTCGATAGATTGGATTGTTTTCGAAATTTCGATACCTAGGTGGGAGAGGAGGAGGAGGAGGTGGACGGCGAGGAAAGGGAGGAGGAGGACGAGCAGAAGGAGGAGGAGAAGCACGCAGATGAAGGGGAGGTGGAGGAGGACGAGCCCGTGTCATCCTTGCTCAGAGGTCGTGCTAATCTTCTCTGTATCGATCCCAATCATCCCTCCGTTTCGTGAGCTTTTTTTTTTTTTTCAACCTTTTCTCGATTTGTGCGTGTCATCCTTGCGCAGAGGTCGTGCTAATCTTCTCTGTGTCGTTCTCAATCTTTGGGAACGATATAGAGAAGATTAGCACGACCTTTGCGCAAGGATGACACACACAAATCGAGAAAAGGTTGAAAAAAAAAAAAAAAGCTCGATACCTGGGTGGGAGAGGAGGTCGTGAACGACGAGGGCGACGAGGAAGGGGAGGAGGACGACTTGGAGGAGGAGACGAAACGGAGGGATGGGAACGATACATAGAAGATTAGCACGACCTCTGCACAAGGATGATACGCACAAATTGAGAAAATGTCGAAAAAAAAAAAAAGCTCGATAGATTCACTAGTACATTACCTGGGTGGGAGAGGAGGAGGTCGTGAACGACGAGGGCGACGAGGAAGGGGAGGAGGAGACGCAACGGAGGGATGGGAACGATACAGAGAAGATTAGCATGACCTCTGCGCAAGGATGATACGCACAAATCGAGAAAAGGTCAAAAAAAAGAAAAACTCGACAGATTCGACACCTGTGGGAGAGGAGGAGGAGGAGGACGACGAGAATGGAGGACGAGGAGGAGAGATGGAGGACGAGGAAGGGGAGGAGGAGGAGGACGAGCGGGAGGAGAGGAGGAGGAGGAGGAGGAGGCAGTGAGGATGATGAAGGGGAGGTCGAGGCCGGTGATACTCACCGGGCGATGGCGGCAGCTCCTCCCTCACACGGCAGCACGGCAGCACGGCAGCACGACAGCATGGCGGCACGGGGCGACACTTGAGAATCGTGGCAGCTCCTTGAAATGGCAACGACACTCGCAGGAATGGCCGTGACCGACCACACACCTACCCAAGAGGCCCAGCCAACCCCACATAAAGTAGAAAGAACTGGAAACAGGTTTTGAAAATTCGAAACCTCGCGGTTCGGCCTTGAGCGCGGTCCGGAAATGTTTTTTTTGGCCTTCGCCTTCTTTTTTTTTTTTTGGGGGGGGGGGGGGGGCGGGCCCCCCCCCCCCCTTCGTGCGCCGCGTGGGAACGGTCGGGCCCGTGCGTCGGACGTCGGGAAACTCGCGCTGTGCGCTTGCAAGTATGATATATAAATATATATATATATATTTTTTTTAATTTTAAATTTATTTTAAGGGTGAGCTATATTCTTCTCTCATCTTGGCAGTACGCATCTATCTCATTCCTCTCACTAGTCTATGTATAGTACAGGGGAACACCAACCAACCTGGATCTCTCCCGAGCCCACGGGGGTAGGTTGGCACCACAACTGTGGTGCGAGAGCAAGGCTGTACCAGTCACAGTGACGAGGGGTGGGCAGGCATTGCCGATGGGGGAAATCGGCGGTGCTAGCGCCGAGCAATGGCCAGTCACTGCACCTCCCCCTACCTTCCCCCAACCCCGCATGGCGGTGTCTAATGGCCAACATTGTCGCTGCATAGTCTTTCGAAACGGTTTCACCCAGTTGACCCGACAGTTGCAGACCCTGAGATTCCATCCCTTGACCTATGCCTAAACCTTGTCTATTGACCTCATACCCTATGTGAGATTTGAACCCATGACCTGTCCTGAATCGTAGGTTAGGCAGTAGGTTAGTTAGTTGGGATTGATCCACAGATCTTCGTATTAGCAGGTAAGTATGTACCGGTAGGCTTGGTTAGGGTCCTGGAAGCTTCTCCCTGTCTCTACGTAGGCCTAAGGGTCAGTCCAGTTCGTAGGTAGTGGGGTAGAGTCTAGAAGGTTGTAGGGCTGTCTATTCGGGTGCAGTCAGCAAGTACCAAAGGCAAGTGGGGTTCCCACGTGGTAAAGTTCCACACGTTTTGGCCTAGTAGGCCCAGGCGTGTGGAAGATTTCGGGCCCCACGCGGTCTGGGCCCAGGCCCACGCGTTTTGAGGCAGGACCAGGCCACCTGCAGAGAAGTATAAATAGAGAGGCAGCGGACAATCATTCATTCATTGGCCTGTGAGTGATGTGGACGCGCTGCCTTGGTGACTTGTGCGTGGAGGTCTGCAGGTGCCCGGAGCTGAAGTGGGTGAGGAGGAAGACGACCGCCATAGCTGGCTGAGGGAGACAAAGACAGCCATAGCTGCAAGGAGGAAGACGACGACGGCAAGCTGCTGGAGTCGACAGAGTGTACAGTGTGTGTGTGTGTGTGTGTGTGTGTGTGTGTGTGTGTGTGGAGTGGACAAGATCCTCGACAAGCGTACAACTAACTTGAACTGAGTTTGAGTGGAAGACAATCTCTGAGTTTTCTGTGTGGGCGCAAAGCGCCAGTACAAGGTCATTGTTGATTCTGAGTTGAGGAAGTTGGTTTGCCATCATTTCACCCATGTATGCATGTTGTAAGCGAGTCTGGAGTGCACTCTGATTTCACTGGTATCAGAGTTGGTACCCGTTGTCTGCGTCGAAGTTCCAGCAAGCTGAAGAAGGGAGAAGCTGCCATAGCTGGAGTGCGGCAAAGTGAGAGAGAGAGAGGAGGCCACAACGGACGGCAACCATAGTTGTCGAGCTCGACGAAGAAGACGATGAACAAGAGAAGAGGAAGAAGTGACGCAGAGAGAAGGAAGGAAGTTGATGAAGAGGGAGGTGAAGTAGTCAAAGCCAAGGTGCAAGAAGAAGAAGAGGGCGACGAAGTAGAAGGTTGACCACCATAGCCAGGAGGTTCGAGGGTTGACCATTGTGGTTGACCAGCATTGACCAGAGGTTGACCAAGACCGGTGACCAGCTTTGACTGGAGGTTGACCAAGACCGTTGATCGACATTGACCAGGCTGACCAAAACGTTGACCAAGATTGTTGACCAGCGTGTTGGCCAAGACCATTGACCGGAGCGTTGACCAAGTTGGAGCGAGACGACGAGCGGTATTCTCTCTCCAAGCCTTGGCCTAGCCCTTACCCTGTGGATGCGCAACCTCACCTTGGTACTTGCTGACGTTAGGTTTATCAGAGTCTGTCATATCTCCCTATCACTTCTGTCCAGGTCAATAGGACTCTGTGGATCTGGCCGTAGAGCTGCGAGCCCAAACCCACACGAGACTCTGTAAGGCTAAAGGCCGCGTCTGACGACTGACACGTCCCGGGGACAAGACCCCAAGGACCGGTACTGACCGGCGGGCTGCTCAGTGTGGCGTTGTAGGCTCGAACTTCGAGCTGTGGGCTGTGCGTCCAACTGTCTAAATCTTGAGAGGACTCGGCTAATTGCGTCGTCCTGTCTGCGACGCTAAAGAATTATTGAGGAGTTATGGGGGATCTCCTTAAATGCCTCCTGATTGGTCAGTGAGTCCTGCAGTGACAACCTGTAGAATAGGTTAGGGATCCTAGTTGACAGGGTTTGAATCTGAAGTGGAAGTCAGGTGGGTTTCGGTGACAGTGGTGGCGAAAGCTTTCGTCGACTGTGGAAAGTTTCGGTGACAGTGGTTGCGAAAGCATCTGCTGGCTGTGGTAACCTGGCAGAAATGGAGGAGCGAACTTTGTAGTCCTTTAGAGAGTCAGATTGGTAGGTCTACGTGTTGAGGAGTGGAATCGTGTGTGATTGTGCACTTTCACCATGGTGACTACCAAGACCGGAGTGAGCACCACTCCCTACAGTAGAGAACAAGAAGAGAGAGTTGCCGCCTTTTTAAGGGAAAAAAAGGAGAAAATGGAGAAGGACCGGAGTGAGCACCACTGCTACAGTAGAGAACAAGAAGAGGGAACTGATCAAGCAGACAAAGGTGTTGGCCCTGCTAGAGGAGCAGGAGGCGAAGAAGAAGCAAATGGAAGAAGAACTGAAAAGGTGGAAGGAGCAAGAGGAGAAGATGGCGGCAGTAGAGGCAAAAATGGAAGAAGAAGTAGTAGAAGAAGAAGTAGTAGAAGAAGAAGTAGTAGAAGAAGAAGTAGTAGAAGAAGAGGTTGAGGAAGAAGCAGCCTCGCAAAGAAGAAGAGGGGAGGCGAGTACCAGTAAGTCTACACAAGAAGAGGTGGAGAGAATGGCAAAAGAGTGGGGATTGCATATAGAGTTGGGGGAGCAGAGAGAAGCGGAGTTGATGGTACCTGAGGCTGAGAGAGGAGCAAGGAGAGAGTTGGAGGAGGAGAGGAACCCTTTGCGTAGACGAGCAAGGGGTTCGCATATGGAGTTGGGGGAGCATAGAGAAGCGGAGTTGATGGCACCCGAGGCCGAGAGAGAAGCAACAAGGAGAGAGTTGGAGGAGGAGAGGAACCCCTTGCATAGACGAGCAAGGGAACATGGGAAGCAATCAGAATGGAATTTGCGCCTGACACAAGAAAAAATAAGGATGCGACAAATAAGTTAGATAGGGAGTTAAAGGCGGCAAAGACAAGGATGGGGAAGATCAGGGAAGAGACTGAGATAGGAACCAAACTCGACACCCTGACTCACAGTGTAGAATCCTTACCGACCGCACACAGAGAGCAAATGAAGCACCTTCACAACCATGATATCGCGTTAGAGTCAATATGCGGTGGATTCAAAGATTTCACGCAGGATATGATGAAATATCTTGTGTATCAGATGCAGCTTGCGATTAGTAGGACGAAAAAATTTTGCACGAGCGCCATAGAAGGCGCCAAGGAAGCGGCTTCCAAGGAAGAGGAGCCTGCCCCACGCCGTGAGAAAGTCAAAGTCCGTCTCCCTGAGCCCTTCAGTGGGAAGAAGGGGGAGGATTTCGACAATTGGGAAGCTAACGCTTACTCCTATCTATACCTATAGGGCGTAGCGCCAGAAGATCATGTCCTAGTGGCCTTTCAAGCCCTGAGAGAGGAGGCGACCAGCTTTGCAAGGTCGTTTGCACACTGTGAAAACGATATGGTGCAGTATTCCTGGATAACCTCCCTCTTCGAGTTCCTTAAGTCTCTTAGGGAACGATTCTCAGATGTCACGCGGGGGCTTAAAGCCTTCGACAAACTGCAGATGATCCATACCCAACAGTGGAAGAGTGTACACACCCTTAAGTCTTCCATGGATGAGTTGATTGTTGTACTCGGGCATGGAGTCACTGACGCACAGTTAGTCCAACTCTTCTACCGCTCATTGGCCCAGCATATATATGCAAGGGCACTTCTTCACCCGAAAGCAGCAGCCAAACATCATGTATGATGTTCTTAGTAGAGAGGCTATTTCATTCGCTGCTCAAGCGTCGCCAGCTACCACGTTCTAGCACAAGGACTTGACAAAGGGAAGAACGTGGAAGGAACTTCCCATCTCTGGCCAAGTCAAGGCCAAGGATAGTCTAATTCTAACAATGGAAGAAGGTGGTGCCGAGGAAGTTCCCTACTCAGATTTTGAGTGGGGACTTGAAGAAGAAGACAATGGGGTAGAACATGGGAGAACCTATGCTGGTGTCGCGGCCGGAGGGAGGCCGCAAGGAAGAGGGCCTGGCGCCAGGTGGCCGAGGGCAGGGCGACCAGGGGGTTGGCGGCAATGGAAACCGCCAAGCGGGAGGAAGGGGTCAAGGTCCCCCGTCTACCCGTCCGTGCCAAAGTCGGTCACCTCCTAGACAAGGAAGGTGGCACCCAGGTCTGGCCAAGGGTCGACCTTGGGAGGATTTGGGAATTGAGAAGAATGTGTGGCAGGGTTGTATAGATAGGTTTCAGTGTGTATTCTGCGGGGATCCGGACCACATCATCAAATTTTGTCCCAAGTATAGGAGTCGCGTTGCTTCTGGGGCAGCAAAAGACAGTCGCCGGTAGGGGTCGCAACTGCACCTACCCTAGGAGTATGTGGATCTGAGCGTGCGTGCAAAGTAGTCTCCCACTCCGCATATCTCCATGGCAGAGGTTGCTGGCCAACGTCTAGTAAGTTGTCCAAAGACTGCTTGTGTCGGAGTCTCTCT